CCCTAAAGCAAGACTGCGATTAATGAAACATTTTTTTTCCGGACATTTGACTGGCGTTGTAAAACTGAATCATGTGACACGCGACACACTAATTGTGAACTGTTGTGGCGGTCACTAGAATCAACGCCAAATCTGGCCGAAAAATGTTATTTCGATTTTTTAGTCCTGAAGACTGGATTAATTATTCCTCAAGACGAAAATTCTCGGGTTTTACAGTCAACGAAGGAAGAAGACAGTCATCGATATTCGAAGACGTGCGGAGTTATTTAAGTCGAAAACAAGAATTACAAAACAGGAAATGTCTAAATATTAATTAAGGTTATATAAACGGTAAAATGAGGCTATAAACGCGCCATTACTGCCAGATTTCGAGATAATCTCGAGGACAACAAGAGGTCTGAAGGCTTCTAAAGAACTTAGTGATAGTTTTTTTTATAGAAAAGACAAGAAATGAAACTCCTATCGAAAACACTACAAGGCATACCAGCTAAAACCGGAACCATGAAGATCCGAAAGTAATTTACCTACAACTTTTGTCGACCCTAACCAAACTATCTAAATAGAAACGAGGTACGGAGTACAAGGGTAGCAAAAATGGAAGATTGGACAATAGAAAATCACAGAATCTTCCAAAAACTCCGGCGCATCAATTCTAAGAAGTACCCTCCCATTTTCATAATATAAAGACGGACTAGATGCAACCCTGATCAATACGATGGTTAAAAATAAGTTGAGTCGATCGCCGGGACAATGAGCTTATTTTGACACGTCAGCCAACAGGCGTGCATCCCGTAAGGACTACCCTCCTCTGTCTTAAGTAGTTGGCTGTTACTTTCTCTAACTGAATTCAGGAATCGGAAAAGCTAGGATAGATTCACTATCACAACGATCGACTTGCAATCTTCCGAATTACTACACAGAACTGACCTTTTACACAAACCATCGGCTTATCATCTGAGTAAGTATTTATTTCAAAATATTCTAAATTAAAACGTCTAGATTTAAGGAAACTTCTAGTCATTCGTCATACGGGGTTCGCTCATTGAGGAGTTGGCACGTTAATAAAGACGACCGGCCTCATAAAAACTCCTCGCGAAATCCACGGCAAAAGTGCTCGCAATTGCGTGAAAACCCCACTGCCCAAACCCGTTAAACGGCCTGCGGGTGAATGTTTCTGGGGCCAGTTATGAGAGAAAGTGTTGGTCGACTTATTTATAAGGTGGGTTCTATCATGCGTTTAAATGAGACTTGGAGAACATTTCGATGTTTAAAGCGACGCTTGAGACAATTAAGAATAGTTCAGTAAAAAGTCTAGCAAAGGGCTTGACTTGGACGGGTAAGTTAAAGATATTGTGCTACAACTTGGCTACTTGTCTTTTTTTATTCAAAAAGATATTACCCGTCCGAAAATATTATGCGATGCCAAGAACTGTAGGTTAGATGCCAAACATATAGTTCTTACACGCATCACATAGCGGCCTGTTAGAGAACATGGCAACGGGCGAATTTGAAGTCTTGTCCAAACCGAAAACTGAGTTCATCGGTTGGCCATAGTTGAGCAGCATTTCGGTAGGATGATTGCTATTTGCCAGCTCTGGTATGCTTGGTGCTGGGGGGAAACCAGTGGGTGGGAAGAAATTGCCCGAAGACTGGTTTGAACCAGTGGAATTGACCACATCCCAAATTAAAATGGACGGTTCGCGATTCGACCGACCTCGTTCAAGCCCTTGTGCAAGCTGAAGCAGATGTCGGCAGAGGAAAAGGGATCACAATAACAACAAAAAAACTGTCCTAATAAAGAGCTGCAGTCAGAAGCACAGCCGTAAAATTCTTCATACCACGGGAAAAATGAGTGAGTGAAATAAGCACTGTGAACGCAGTGAATCGTCCTCTATGCAAAGTACACCGCTTGGGGGTGATGAAAAGATATACCAAGTAACATGAAAAAGAGAAATTGGTGGGCAAAACCGGTTTCTTTCGAGCCTGCAAGGTTGAGCTGATCTGGTGCAAAGCAGCCGATCGATCAAAAGTGATCTTCCACTGGAATCATCAGTTATCAGAAAACATGGGTGGGGGGAGGGGGTGAGAGAACTGTATGAAGCTTGCACAGTTCTCTCGCTGTCCCAGAGATCGTCCATAAGACCTCCCAACATGGCATACATCTTCCACCCAGAGGTATAATAACCAAAACCATTAGATGACCTTTAGCTTTCCAACACTTTTTCTTCCCGTCAATTGCTAGGGTGAGTTGAAAGGCAAGACGGATGCCTCTTCGCTTCTGACCATGATCAAGTCACTGGCTATGAATCAATAGCCTCAGGTTGGTCTTATTTTTCTCTCTGGCGCGTCGTTAGACCAGGCACGGTAGGGTCGTTAGACCAGGCACGCATTACGGGCAGGGACACGGAATTCAGAAGCCACGATTAGGTCAAATTACATGCATACTCTAGCTGTGGACAGCGAGTGGCCGCAAAAACACTAGGCCTATTCACATGGAAAAAAACGTGTAAGTGACAACGATATGATAGAAAGCTGGTAGCATCACTACCAATGTTGTCGTAAATATAAGAACCGCGAAGCCGTCGTGGCACGTTTTATTGGTTTCGAGTAGAACCTAACATTCCTATAATGAAGGCGATTGACCAGGCGAAAAGACATCCGACGTTCCGCAGGCTAGACTATGCTAGCGATCATCAAGGCAAGGGCCACAACAGGTTGACTTACTAGATTAGTCTTCCAGGGGTTCCAGGCCAAAAATGTACAACATCGGTTGGAACGCGAGACTGGAAAATAAATCCTATAAAGGATGACGAACTTACACAAATCTTTGTTATTCAGACAAAATTGATCCTGTTGGGAAACAATATCTTCAAGGCTGCAAACAGCTCAAAATATAACAATTCAAACCTTTTCAATTTAATATCGCCAACCACATTTCCCAGGGCTACCAGGCAGCTAGGGCTAACGGGATTATGGTGTTTTGCGTTCAGACACGGTTGCCACGCGCATGCCTAGGGAATTCACAGAAAAATAACTCCAAGTACTTTTATCCCATCGAGTTTCCTATGCACACTGAGTAACTGTAAGAGAAATTTGCACTTGTTTCCTATTACAGACCCTGAAGAAATTAAATCAAGGAGAAGGAAATGCAACCATTGTCAGCTGGTAGCGCACTCAGATAGTCTATGTCACTTATTTGGAAGAGAAACAAGTTGTTCTGACAGAATACGAAAAATCGACCGTCATGATTGGGCGACCAAGAAAGCTCCGCAAGGCTCATACCTCACAAGCGCATTGAAAGTTCGAAAAGTTTTGTCCTGCCCATCAATTATACGACCCATTCAAACATCAATGAAGTCCATCAGTCGGACAATTGAAAACGAACGAGGCTTATCATAGAGTAAGTACTCCTGAATCTTTTTCTACCTTCCTTCCGTTGCCACTAAGGGCATAAGCACAAGTCAAGCACCGGAATGCTCAGCATAAATCCTTTGATTTACAGAAAGCTACGTGTGGATCTGATGAAAGCTTTCTGCATAGTGCGCAATCAGGGCTGCTGCCTTGAATCAGAAGACTTCTTTGAGTTGGCGACTACGACCAACCTGAGAGGCCATCCATTCGAACTACGTGTGACTGGTGCCCGACTAGACACGAAAGATCTCCAGTAGGGTGGTTGCTGCTTGGAATGCTTTGAATGGGGATTATAGGCTTTTGTACATTTTTGACTTGTTTCACTACACTTTCTTGTACATCTGACTTTCCTGTGCATTTGTTTGACTAAACGGAAATACACTTGAACAACACTGCGGCGGTCAACGTGTGTTCTGGTTTCGAGTGTGCTTGAATTCGTTATTTCTTGGCCTTCGCTTGTGACCTCTCAACATTCTTAGCCATTGAGAGAGAGAGAGAGAGAGAGAGAGAGAGAGAGAGAGAGAGAAAGGAAATGCGCTTTATTTTGAAATCGTAAGTTCAAAATTTTCAGTAAAAAATTGGCTCCATTCACTGTGGGTAGTAAATAAGTTAAGAGATTATTCAACAGTCAAAGAAACGATTATTATGGGGATAGTTCAAGTCTGAGCTTCTGTATTTCTGCCATTCGTATGAGCTGACGGAGACTTCCTCCTTAAAGCCGACTTCGACGTAGCATCGCGGAACCTAGAGCCTCCCTTCAACCAGTTCCTCATCGGAACACTATCTCGCTACCTATGAGGATTCTACTTTGCGTGAGTCTGGAACACTCCTTTTCTGATTCTTCGAATTTGTACATCCATTTTTGTGGGTAAACACAATTCCCCTATTTGGATTTAGTTTTTCCTGTATATATAACTGTTTGTAGTTTTTAAGTCCACGTTTCCACTAGAAGACTGGTGACCCCGCTTTTCCCTACATTCCGAACCTTTTTTAGTTACCATGGCCAGTAACGACTCCCAAAAAGACTCACTCGACGTTAACACCCTTTCTTTTAAACTGTCACCGTTTCCACCGAGCAATCCTCGCGTTTGGTTTAGGCAGATCGGGGCTCTTTTTGCGACAAGCCGCATAGCTAGCGGGCGTACCTGCTATTCGTACGTTTTGCAGTCCCCCTCATTTGATTTAGCTGTCACCGATGTTAGGGGGCGCTCACCGATCGTTCATACGGAACTCACTCGTTCCGTTGTGCCTTATGGACTGTCTCTCGAGCCCAACCAGCAGCCGTACAGCGGCGCATGATATATAGGCAGAATGATATTACCGACAAAGACAAGGGAGACTGGAATGGCCATTTCTGGCTTATTAGCCGTCGTCAGCCAGCCATACCCAAGCCCGAAGTGTGGAACACCCGAGCCTCGAACTCGCGACCTGTTGGTTTAGAAGTCAACGCCTCTACTCACCGGGCCACGAGCCCGTTGCCCCGTTGTAGCTATCACCGTCGAAGACCTCCTTACCCCATTCCAGCCGACGAACCGTATACGCGGCTGAAGGAAGCGGTAATCCAACGGGTGGCTATATCGGCCAACCTTATGCTGCGGGAACTTTTTACGCAAATAGAGCTAGGTGATCAGACACCTTCCCAGCTCATGCGTCACATGCGCTCACTTCTCGCTGGTAGGCACATGGACGACGCCATTTTTCGCGAGATTTGCTTAGAAAAGATACCGGTGCCAATGCAACAGATTTGGGCTATGTTGGACTCGAATACACCCTTAGATAAGCTAGCTACCCACGCTGACAGAATCCAAGAGTGTTACCCCATTGGTGCCTCGTGTTGCAATATTCAACAGCCCCCGCCTTCCAAAGGCAAGCCCCATCATGACATTGACTCTGATTCAGAAGGTCCAGCATTATCATAGCACGACATTCCCTATACGGAAAAAGCACCAAGCTGTTGCACAACCCGACGAGCGCCCACATCAGCCGGTCCTCCTAGAACACCCACCGACGCTTATCGCACCGATTACGACGACATAAGAGACACTGTGCGCCTCCTTTGCACTCAGGTGAGCAACATGTGCTCTGCTCTTAACGGTCTTCAACCGGCTAGAAAACATCCATACTCACATTGGCGGTCTAAATCCCGTGAGCGGCGTTCACAACCATTATGTTGGTATCATCGCACTTATGGCCCGAAAGTGCATAACTCCTTGTTCGTTCGCTCGTCCTTCCCAGTTAAACGACCACGCCAGCCAGTAATTTTGACGACTGCTGCTGGCCCGTCGCGACCCAGTCGCCTTTTCTTTATCAACGACAAGTCGAGCGGCCTCCGTTTCCTTGTTGGTACCGGTGCCGAGGTCAGTGTCATCCCGCCTCTAAGGCGTCACCGCCTCAAGCCTTCGCAATTCTCATTGAAGGCTGCAAATAGCACCACAATCAGCACCTACGGCCAACGGTCCCTCACTTTAGATCTTGGTCTCCGGCGACGTTTCCAATGGGTCTTTATTGAGGCTGACTTCAAAGCGCCCATTATCGGAGGCGACTTTTTGTCATCTTTCGGCTTAACAGTCGATTTCAGACACCGTCACCTCACAGACACGGCCACCCAACTCTTTACTATAGGTACCATTAGCTCTGAACGTTCGGTAGGCATTCATCTCATCATCCCCAGCACCCCTGTAGCTGACATTTTGAAGGACTACCCGTCCATCACTAAACCATGTCATTTTACCGAAACCGTTCAACACGGAGTGAAACACCACATTGTCACGGCATGGAAATCAGTGCACGCTCGTCCGCGTAGACTCCACACTGAGAAGCTCCGAATAGCAAAGAATGAATTTGAACATATGATGAATCTGGGCATTATACGCCCTTCATCTAGCCTATGGGTCTCACCGCTTCACATGGTGCCAAAGAAGTCATCTGACGATTGGAGACCGTGCGGTTATTATCGAGCCCTAAACAGGTCCACAATTCCTGACCGGTACCCCATTCCCCACATTCATAACTTTTCCCACATGTTAGCCGGTAAAACTATTTTTTCCAAGATAGACCTCGTCAGGACGTACCACCAAATCCCGGTCGCTGAGGAAGATATCCCAAAGACCGCTATCACGACACCCTTTGGGCAGTTCGAATTTATTCGCATGCCTTTCGGTTTGCGCAATGCTCTCCAGTAGTTTAATCGCTTTATCGATGAGATCTTGAGGGCCCTTCCATTCGCTTACGCCTACATCGACGACATACTCGTTGCAAGTTCTTTGGCAGAGGAACATGCCTCGCATTTACGCCTCATATTCGATCGTTTCCGGCAACACGGTGTGCAAGTAAACGTCGACAAATGCGTTTTTGGCGTTAATTCTCTCGATTTCCTTGGCCATTACGTCGATCAGCACGGAATCACTCCACTTACAGAGAAGGTGCAATGCGTCTTGTCTTTCCCTGTTCCCAACACACTCACTCAGCTGCGACGTTTCATAGGCCTTATCAACTATTACAGACGTTTTATTCCCCATTGTGCGGCAATCCTGGCTCCCTTGATTGACCTTTTGAAGTCGAAAGCAAAACCTATTGAACTTTCACCGGCAGCCCATACAGCTTTTGAGGAAGCGGAGAAGGCTCTTGTCGATGCCACCATGCTACACCACCTTAGCTCTGACGCTCATGCACAGCTCATTCTGACCACTGACGCTTCCAGCAGTGCTGTCGGCGCAGTCTTGCATCAACAGGTGAATAACCAGTTGCAGCCTTTAGCTTTCTTTTCACAGAAGCTACAACCGGCGCAGACTCGCTACAATACTTTCTCTCGCGAGCTCCTTGCCGTCTACTTGGCCATACGTCACTTTCGACACCATTTAGACTGCAGAGACTTTTCGGTCCGCACCGACCACAAACCTCTCACTTACGCCCTCAAGGCCAAGCTAGATCGCTACTCGCCCAGGGAAGTTCGTCACCTGGACTATATATCGCAGTTAACTGCAGATATCCGCCACGTCCGAGGCAGCGACAATGTCGTTGCTGATGCATTATCCCGTCCGAACATCAACACACTCACATCCGATTTCGACCTGACGAAGCTTGCAGACCTCCAAACCGCAGACGAGTCCATCGCGGACTTTCGTACGTCTACTGCTCTGCAGCTTCGAGATGCACCACTTCCTGCGTCACCAGGTACGATTTTGTGCGATTGGTCCACAGGCACCCCTCGTCCTGTTGTTCCACTATCCTATCGTCTTTGGCCGAAGATGAATTTCGACATTGCTCTTTGGACCAAACAGTGTCTCGCATGCCAGAAGAACAAGGTGCATCGACACACCTTCTCCCCTCCAAGTACCTTTGCGGTCGCGGACGTTCGATTTAATCACGTTCACTTGGATTTATTCGGACCGTTACCCCCTTCACATGAGTACACACATATCCTGACGGCAGTTGACCGTTTGACACGATGGTCGATTGCCGTTCCTATCTCGGATACCTTGGCAGAAAATATCGCCATAGTTTTTCTGTCCCGCTGGATGTCAACTTTTGGTGTTCCAGCCACCCTTACCACTGACTGCGGAAGTCAATTCCAAGCTAGCCTCTTCCGTGAGTTCACCAGACTGCCCGGGTATGCGCACATCACAACCACGGCATACCATCCTGCCTCCATCGGCCTCGTTGGGGGTCTACACCGCTAACTCAAGTCCGCACTGATGTCCCAAACAGAGTCAGCTGACAGTTCGACCATCGGTTTCGATGATGTCCACCGTGTGCCCCACAGTTGCAGCAGCAATGGGAGCAGGGACGGTGACTTACGCAGGGGTTTATAGTGCCGGTAGACTTGCGTAGCATCTACCTACACTCTCTCCTCCTCCCTTGCCCGAGCCCGGTGTCAAGACAGAGTCAAGAAGACCGGAGACGAGGGAGGCCGCAGGTGGATGGCTCGGACGGATCCTCACCTTGGCGTTCCATCACACCCCCTGGTTCACACACCAAATGACCAGGATTTCAACCAATCACAACAGAGATTTTGAGACTGGCACGGCCGAAGCCGCACCTGGGCGTGCCGCCAACGCCTGGCTCAGATCCCACACTGTGAAATCGAAGTATTATTAATTATTATCACTGGGCAATTTGTCACAGTAAGATCAGTCTGCTCGGAGTCTCTTTTACCCTTGAAGACAGATGCAAAATTGTGATTAAGTCATGCTGCTTAATTACTTCCCCCTTTGGCAAAGCGCATTTACCGCGTTATTCGTCATATGTCCAATTTCAAACATCCAGGAAAAATCACACACCAAGCCTCTTTCCAAGAGCGGCTGTTCTGTATCATTTGAAGGTTTTGAGCCAAATACATCCTCTAACTGAATGCGGAGATGCTAGAGACATTAGACGAGGGTGAACAGACAATGAACTAATAAGTGCACTTTAACTTATATTCTTAAAATTTGTATCGCGTGAAAACTGCCATATCGCATCTTTTTTACAATACCTTTGCGGTCTCGGGGCCAACTTTTCTAACGCTTCGCATCCGACGAAACGCCTTCTCTCACAGGGTCATTAGGGCATGGAACGTACTCCCTGATGCGGTGGTTCTTTCTGAAATTTTCAAATCCTTTAAATGTAGACTAGATGCTCATTTTTTAAGAACCTACTGTACGTATAATAATGATTGTTTTAGCGGCGGCATTTTGCGCCTGACTCACATTTACCGCTAACTTTTAAACTTTTCGTATTTGCTGATGTAACTGATGGCTTTATTTCTGTTTATCGATATGAGTAGGGAGCTCAAGGGCGAAAGCCTCGTTCCCTTAATAATAATAGAAGTTTTATAATAGTCAGGAAAGAAGCCATTTACGAGGAATACTGAAAAGAGTTTGCTAAACAGAGGAGGAAAATCTCTTAGTTGTTTTATAAAAGAGTTTGGGTTATTGTCCGCGCCTACTGGGTGAGAGTTAGGAAGATGGTTTAACAGTTTTTAAATAGATTCAGGAGAAAAATTAATGATTTTAAGAGAAGCAGCAGACAACGTAGGAATTAAGGGGATTAGGCCAGTTCCAATGGTGAAATATACGGCAAAGAGAGAATTTAACATTTTTGCTTTGCCTGACTCCTCTCTAATGAAGGCATCGTTGGTACTAAGCAAAGGCGGAATGACTTGGTGGCACTTAGCTGATAATCTTTGACGGAAGATCTGAGCAACTGATTTAGAAGCATTAATGTCATTAAAAGCTAAAGACTCTCTACGCCTATCTCGCGCGAGCCTCATTTTCGAAGCTAATTCAAATATTTCGACGATTCTTAGATGAACTGATAATGAGCTCACAGAAGAATCTTTAAGCTGCTTCTGTAGCTTTTAAAGTCTCTTTTTAAGAAAGAGTGGGATAGCGGTGGAAATGGCTCTAAATTTGAACGTCTTCCGTCGAATTAGGTCGAGAAGACCCTCTGTTTCGCATTGTAATAAATTGTTAAAAAAAATTCAGATCATTGTAGAGTAGAAATGGTAGGCATTCCGAGACGATATAATGAAAAAGGAAGAGGTTCTTCGGAAAAATCGAGTTGTACTCGTGAATTTTCGAATTGGTGACACCAACCCGTCGTCAGACGAAATGAAGAAAAAAGAGAGAGTGAGACAGTCAGACTAGACTAATAGACGAGACAGGACAAACATTGGCGGACGAACCATTAGCGTGTGAGGAGGGATGCGGGTAGGGAGTCATGCTGGGTTCTGAGCCGGGAGGGTAGGAAGGGGGGGGGAACCGTTACGGCTGCCGAGCCCCACGCCGCATCAGCAGCCGCTAATCCAGGCGCCCGCAGTTCTGCCAACCTACCATTCTCCCTCCCCTCCAACACGGCAGCCGTAACGGTTCCCCCCCCCTTCCTACCCTCCCGGCTCAGAACCCAGCATGACTCCCTACCCGCATCCCTCCTCACACGCTAATGGTTCGTCCGCCAATGTTTGTCCTGTCTCGTCTATTAGTCTAGTCTGACTGTCTCACTCTCTCTTTTTTCTTCATTTCGTCTGACGACGGGTTGGTGTCACCAATTCGAAAATTCACGAGTACAACTCGATTTTTCCGAAGAACCTCTTCCTTTTTCATTCAGATCATTATTTGAAAAAAAATATTGCGCCAATCAAGAGTGCTTGTAAAGTTATTTACTAATTCCTCATTAATATTAAATGATCGCGGGCAAAAATTTACTGCGGTTGACTACTGCTCAGAGGCAGGTCAATAAATCGTTTTTTGTAGCTTAGGTGGACAACAGCGTCGAATCAGATCAAGCGAAATTGTCTTAAATGCAATCAGCCTCCGGATCATCCTTGAACAAACGGTCCAAATTCACTGGCATCATTTCGTTCTTCATCGTGTTGAAATCCGCCTTCCATATATGAGGTTGGCCTTCTGTTCTCCTCTGGCGTTGATAGGATATAGAGTAATCCTACAATAGCGTAATATGGTCACTCTTTCCGAGAGGTGCACTGGAATACATTTCATCAATATCAAAGAAGTCTTTGGTGAGAACCAAGTGCAGGCAGTTGGCTCTCTGATTCTCCTTAAATCTTGTTTTACCCTCACATTTTGCGTCAGAGGGAGGTCGAGTGTGAGGTCCATTAGCTTATTGCTGAAGGAAGTTGGCGTTGAATTCCCCAGCAGTAAGGACCTCTTGGTGGCTGGCTACTTTCTTGACTAAATGAAGGAGCTACTCATCAGCTGCACTCGAAAGGTTTGGGGTCAGTAAATCGCCAGGGATTCTAGGTTTTGTACATATCTCTTCTTTATCTTTATCCAGGCGCATTCATATTCAGAAAGAGGATATGGGCTCGTTCCAATTCCGAAATTCCCGTCTTATGGATACGACTACCCCACCGTCCCGTCTATTTTGCTGGTCTCTACGAAAGAGCTAGTAACCCGGTATCAAAATCTCGGCATCCTGATCTCGGCTTTAAGCCACGTTTCTGTTATGGCGGTGACGTCGGGGTTTCGTTCTGAAACTAGCGCTTTGAGTTCGTTGATCTTCAAAACGAAACTTTGAGCATTAGTATGGAAAAATCCCAATTTGGCTTGAGCAACTCCGGCATACAGGCGTCTGTTCAATTCATGGAGTTATACGTAAAAGCCGGTCGAAGCTGATTGGGATGGACTGCTTTCTATCTGCCGAGGAAAGAGGGCTGCTGAAGCTGAAAGAAGCAAAGTCGTCGAGTCCGGACAATATGCCGACCAACGTCTTAAGAGAATCGACAAACAAACTCTCAGAACCACTGGCACATTGCTTAAATTCATCATTCGAATTAGGGTGACTGTTAGTGAAATTGAAGAAAGCGACCGATATGTATGTATGCAAGTATTTCAAGGGTTTATAAGAGACAAACCCACTAGTTGGGCACAGCGAGTAGGCTATCCAGGAAACGTAAATAGCAGTATCCCAACAGTTACAAACTAGTAAATAAGAACAAAGTCGTCGGCAGTTAAAAGTGCACGTGCGTGTTCTTTGTCTTATTCAAAGTTGTGTCAAAGCATATTGTGACTGATTAAAACAAAACAGACTTAAATGTCACTACAGTACTCCCCCTCCTAGGAGAACGGAGTTCAAAAAAATTATTGTTAATAGAAGGAAAATGTGGGAGTGTTATGCATATTGTACAAGTTGGTAACGGTCGGGAAAACGGACATGACGACCACTGCGCGTAAGGGGAGGAGTCTGTGGGATAAGGGAAGACGCAGGGTTATTGGGCGTAAATGGAGTCTGGGAAATAGTAAGTAGCAATGTGCCAAGTGGAGGTTGTGCGGTTGGAGAAGTTGGAAGAGGCTCGGTATAAGCCGCCTTCAAGCGATCGATTGAAACCACGTCGGTGCGGCCTCCACGGTCAATTGTAAAGTGCTTGTCCTTGCGCGATAGTACTCGAAATGGGCCGTCATAGGGCTGTTGTAGTCGTCGGCGAACGCTATCTATGCGGACAAATACAAAAGAACATGTTAGTAAGTTCGGGTCGACGTACGACTTACTTGTTGAAGGACGTGGAGGAGTGGCTCGAAGATGAGTCATGGCTTGGCGCAATCTTTTCACAAAATCGCTGGGTTCCAAGTCGCCTGAGCTTTGAGAGTACCCGAAAAAATCCCCAGGAACCCGTAGGGTGGTACCGTAGACAAGTTCGGAAGCGGAACACTCCACGTCGGACTTGAGTGCGGTACGGATATCGAGCATGACCAGAGGCAGATGCCCGATCCAATGGGAAGGGTTGTCATGAGCTCGGAGCGAGGCTTTGAGTTGCCGGTGGAAACGCTCGACTAAACTGTTGGATGAGGGGTGGTATGCTGTCGTGCGTATGCGAGAACATCCGAGGAGGTTGGTAAGGCTGTTAAACAGTCTAGACTCGAATTGTTGACCTCGATCGGTGGTAATGGTTGAGGGGACGCCATAATGAGAGATCCAGTGTTCCAAAAAAGCATGAGCAACGGAATCTGCAGTTATGTTAGGTATGGGAGTTGCAATGGGCCAACGAGTAAATCGGTCAATCGCAGTAAGTAAGTAGTTGCAACCACGAGATGTTGGAAAGGGACCTACCAGATCGATATGGACATGTGAAAAACGTGCGTCGGGTGCGAGAAAAGTGCCAATGGGGGCTTTGTTGTGCCGTCCGACTTTGGCCTTCTGACAGGCCAAACATGAACGGGTCCACTGGCGGATATCAGTGTTC